CCAACAATCAGAATGGCTGAAAAGGCATTGTGAAATACGTTGTTTTCTATATAAAGTTTGGAGTTCCGGGGCTGGAGAGATACACAGTGGGTAGGGCGTGTGTCTTTCACGTGGCCATCCCGGGTTTGAGTCCCAGCATCCATATGGTCTCCTGAGTGCAGAGCCAGGAGTAACCCCTGTGAGTGCAGAGCCAGGAATAACCCTTGTGCATCGCCAGGTGTGATCCAAAAAGCCAAAAAAAAAAGTTTGGTGTTCCTCCCCTCCAAACACAGGTGTGAGGTGCTGCGTCTCGCTGAGCAAGCAGAAGGAAAGCAGAGAGCTCGGGCCCAGTGGTTGATGCAGATTGCTGGGCCGGGCCGTCGAGCAAGGGAAATTTGGGGATCTCTGGGACCCTTCCTCGGGCCCAGTGCTCTCCGGGGCCCCTAGCTTGGTCGTGTCCTACGAGTTGGGGGCGAGCCTGGCTTTGTGCTTGCTTTGCGTTTGGACGGGCAGGTGGGGTGTTCAGGGCCCAGCTGCTGACACCTGATCCCGCCCTGGCCAGGTGGGAGGACGGAGTTTGGCGGCTGGCCCCTGAGATGCCCAAGATAACCAGTCAAGGAGATAACCAGAGTCAATCCCAGTCGAGTTGGGTGATAGGCTGAGATAACGCACCGAGCCGCTGAGGCAGATCCTGTCTGGAGACGCTCGGGCACCTTGATCCCAGGCCGGCCTGGCCTGGCAGGGGGCGGAGGCGAGTGGGCACCAGCCAACCTCGGCGTTTCCGTGGCTCAGAGCTTCCGGGCCCTTCCGCTTGCTCTGCTGTTGTTTTGATTTTGGGTCACACCTGGACATGTTCCGGGGTCACTCCTGGCTCTGCACTCAGGACTTACTCCTGGAGGTGCTCTGGGGTCCCTATGGGATGCCGGGATTGAACCCAGGTCAGTTGTGTGCAAGGCAAACGCCCTCCCCGCTGTACTAGAGTTCTGGCCCCGTGGCCCAAAACTTAAAGAAAAATCCTTGCTGGGGTTGCCCCGTCGCTGGCGCCCTGTCAGCCTCGTGGGTCTGCACACGGCCTCGAGTGGCCAGTGACAAGGTGCGCCCTCCTGGCCTCCTGCTCCCCAGGGCTGCTCTCTGCCCGGTGCTCCCGGCCCTGCAGCCCTCAACTCCTGCCCTGTGTTCCCTCCTCCTTTCTGTGGTGTCCCCCTCCTCTCTCGGTGGCCCTCCCCCTGGGGTCACCCCCCTTCCTGCGTGGTGCTGGGACAGCAGAGCTGCCTGGTTTGTGCCGGCTTTGTGCCAGGTGCACATGTGACCCCTGGGACTTGGACTCAGGACCTCATGCTTGTGAGGCAGTGCTCAAAACCCCCTCTCGGACATTCCTCCCCTCCAGGCTGAAGGAACGTACTTGACCCACGTTCAGGCTCACACCTCTGCTTCCTGCCAAATCACTGCCGGCCACTAGCAGGCCAGGACCCGTGTGCCACGCCTGTGTGAAGCAGGGACGTTCTGGGGCGTGAGCCTGCTAGCGTCTTTGTCATGGACACATGTGGTCCCATCACAGGATTTAGGGTCACGGTCCAAACACAGGAGCATGGGGGTGAGGGGGTCGGGGCATGTTTAGGCCGGAGACTCTACTGGGCTCACACACGGCACTGAGTGCTCAAGTCTCAGGGAGACAGTGAGGCTCAAACACATTTTCTTTCGCGCTGTTTTTTTTCTTTTTTTTGGCTTTTTGGGTCACACTCAGGGATGCTCAGGAATTACTCCTGGCAGTGCTCAGGACTGGTGATCGAATCTTGGTCAGCCGTGAGCAAGGCAAACCCCTCCCCACTGTGCTCTCACTTCAGCCCCTCCTTTTGCATCTTTTTGTGTTTTTTTCAGAATTGATTGACTTCCTCGTAGCGTTTGCTGGCCCTGACGTTCTCTGTAGAGTCCCTTGTTGCACACTGTGTTTCGTGGGCACCTTGGCATCAAGACTTGGCGCTTGCCTGGTGCATGGCTCACCCCATAGGTCCCCCTGAGCACCGCCAGGAGTGATTCCCGAGAGCAGACCCAGGAGTAACCCTGAGCACTGCCGGGTGTCCCAAAAAACAAAAGGAAAGAAAGAAAATAGGTATCCTTGACCGGAAAGGTAGCCCAGGGCCAAGGAGCCTGCCTTGCCTGCGGCTGACCCCACCCCACCCTGTACGTCACCCCCACCAGGTCCTGCCAGGATGATCCCCGATGACTGGATCAGAGTCGGCCCTGAGCACCGCCAGGTGTCCCGTCCAGGTGTCCCGTCCTGAGCCCCCAGGTTAGGTCACTCCGCCCTCCCCACCTCCCCACCACTCCCCCGTTCCTGCTCACTCATCCTCGAGGGGACCCGCACTCATTCAGCTTGTGCTCCCATCCGAGCAGGCCAGGCCAGACTCCTCTGTACAGCTCTCAGGCCTTAGTGGGCTGGGCCACTCCCTGGCCACGGTGCGGCAGGTGTTGCTCACAGCACTGGGGTCACAGAGAGCAGGGCTATCAGGGTCGGGCTCAGGGCCTCTGCCCTGTCGCTCTGCCCCTCCGCCCCCGCCCCCGCCCGCCCATAGATTTTATGGCCCAGCTCCTGAGGAGGGCCCTGGGCACAGTCACTGGGTCCAGGTCACACTCGGGGGACGCCGAATGACCTCAGTTGGAGATCTGTAACTGCCAAACATTTGTCAAACGTTTTCTGAAACCACTTTCTCAGGGCCCAGGAGTCCAGAACTGGGCCCCGCAGGGACCAGAGGCACACTGGCCAGCTAGTGCTGGCATCTGCAGGGCAGCCCTCCGGAGCCTCAGCCGGACCCTGGCATCACGAAGGGTGGCGCCTGCCCCTTTAAGAAGGGCCCATGATGCCCTCCTCCTTGCGGAATTCTCATTCTACCTTGGAACATTCTAGACTCCAAGTGCCATTTTCAGTCTCTGTAGGAGACTGGCACGAGCCTGTTTGGCAGAGCTCAGTTCTTTAAGCTGCGAGTGCAGTGTGACACAGGTGAATCTGAGTCTCTGGGCTTTTTGCCCGCGTGCGGGTGGCTTTTTTCTCTAACAGTTCTTTAGTGTATGATAGTTTTTAATCTGTAGTTCGTTTAAGTTTTTTTAGTAGTTATATATATATATATTTTTGGGGGGTGGGGGTGGGGTGGGGTGGGGTGGCCATACCTGGCTGTGCCCAGGGGTCACCCTGGCCGGCTAACGTCCCTGTGCTGACGGAGATCGAGCCCAGGACAACTGGATAGAAGGCAAGTGCCCTCCCCACTGTCCTGCCTCTCTGCCCCCTGCGGACTTTTCTATTAAATACGGAATGACTCTGAAGTCAGTGGGCCCTCATGGGGGGCTGATGAGAAGCAGAGGAGAAGATGTCACTCCCCCGGGACTGGCTGGAGCGCTGGCACTGATGAGCGCGACGAGCCCTACCAGCCACACGACACCCACTAGGCCTTCCCGGGGTCTCGGGCCGGAGTGAGGGGTTGCCCTTTTCAGGGAAAGGGAGTCGATCCTCGACCTCCTCAGGCCCCCGGGCCTTTGTCCTTCTCGCAGAAAATCATTTCAGGAGATGAGCATGAAGCAGGAACATTTTATTTGGAGGCTTTTAGGAAGGGGAAATGAGGGAGGGAGTAACACGCTCGAGAGAGAGTGCGGCTTCTCCAGAGGCGCAGAAAGCCACTGAACACGTTAGGTTGCCTGGTTGCGTTCGGTCCGAAAGTCCACACCTCAGGAGGGGAGAAGCCCGTGACATGACCGACCTCGTAGGCAAGAGCAGTCCCTGGGCTCGGGCACGCATGAGCGCCCTCCCTTGGTTCAAGGGGGCTAATCTCGGGTTTTCCCCAGGCTGCCCCTGGTGGGAGTTTCTAGCTACCTAGAGTCCGTTGCTAGGGTGGTTGCCAAGGGGGTAGAGTTGAGTGGTCCAAGGTCCTCTTAGAAATTCCTTTCCTGGCCTTTGTTCCTATTCCCTCGGGGGGTCCAGCCTGCTCTGGGCCTCCTAATGTGGGTTAATTTTGACCAGACCTTGGGTCCCGTGCCCTCAGGTGGTCTTTTGGTGGCCATGAAGCTATTGTTGACTTCCTCGGAGTTCCATTGCCATGACGACGCTTCCCCCATCCACATGTCTGCCTCAGTTCTGTGGGTTAAGAAATGCAGTTAATACTGGCTTGTGGTTATCAAACTTGGGCACCGTCACAAGGAACGAAGGAAACGCCAAAACCTCCTTCGCTCCCCTTTGGCGCAATTTTTTTTCTTTTTGGGTCGCACCTGGTGATGCACAGGATTTACTCCTGGGTCTGCACTCAGGAATCAGTCCTGGCAGTGCTCAGGGGACCATATGGGATGCTGGGAATCGAACCTGGGTCGGCCACGTGCAAGGCAAACGCCCTACCCACTGTGCTATCGCTCTCCAGCCCCCCTTTGGCGCAGTCTTGCTGGGCCCTTTTCCCTGGCACTTCTCAGCCCATAGAAAAAAGTGTGCCTGTTGCTTGCCTTAGCTTCTGTGTGTAACCCCGGGCCTCTCACACACATACATACGCACACATGCACACACAAGACCAGCCATCACTGCTGAGTCGCCTCCCGGCTAGTCAGTGTCTGGACGGGAAGGTGGTCAGTGGCACTCACAGTGCACAGGGACGATTTCTGGCTCCTGAATGTGTTTGGGGGTGGGTGTGATGCCAGGGAGGGCGTGAGGGTCAGCTGCCCGCAGGGCAAGTACCTGTCCCCTCTGCCCTCTGGCCCTGAATCTGCTGTTGTTTGTTTGTCTGTTTGGGATTGAGTTTTTGTGCAGGAATGGCACTTGGTGGGCTCAGGGGGCTGTGCGGGAGGCTGGGGGTCGCACTCGGGGTGGCGAGTGTCAGACTGGCAGCTCTCTGGGCTCCGGAAGCTGCTGTGGTCACTCCCGTGAGACAGACTCTCTCCTCTGCTCTTCAGAGATTTATCCCTGAGAACGAGTGCGCCTCAGAAGGCCCCACAGTGGGCTCGACAGTCAGGGCCCGGTAGTGGCCGCGGCAGCGTCTGACCACCTGACCATGAGTCTGCTGAGGCCCAGCGGGCTGAAGGCCCCCACCAAGATCCTCAAGCATGGGAGCTGGGCCCTGAAGGTGCCCTCGGCCGGTAAGTGCGCTCAGCCCGGGCCAGGGGAGACTCATTTCCACCCGGGAACCCCCTCCCGAGTCCTCGCCCGGGAAGGGCTCCCTGAGCTGTAGGCACGTTCATGGCTCTGGGGACAGCTCTCACACACGAGTCTCACGTTCTGTGACTTTCGTGTCACGGCAACTGGTGACAGATGAGGCGACCAACACGCTCCCTCCTAACTGCTAGCCCCCTCGCCCGGGCTTGGGGACAGGCTGAGGGAGGTGGACTCACCTGGACTAAAGGGCCTCATTGCCGGCCGTAGCCACAGTACAGTGGGGAGGGCAACCGGCACCCCATGGGACTCTCCAGCCTCAACCTCACATGAGTGACCCTGAGCGCAGAGCCAGAAATAGGCCCTGCGGACTGGCTGGAGTGCTCCCCCCCTAAAAGAAAAAGAAGATGGGCCAGTGGACACAGCAGAAATAAGACACTGTGTTGGAGCTTTCTCCTGGCTTGGTCCGTAGCATCACGGGGTGTGTCCAAAGATTTCCCCTCAGCTGCCCAAATATGACTGTGGCCTGGGATGCTGCAGTAGGTAGGCACGTCCCCTTCACGGCGGGCCCGGCCAGGCTTCACCACAAGCAGCCCCCGGCATTGGCTGGGAGTAGTCCCAAGCACTGCTGGGTGTGGCCACCCCCAACCACACTTTAACTGGACCTGGACAGGCCCTTCCTGACCCTTCTGACCCTTCTGACCCTTTCTGCTGTTCCAGCGGCTGCTCCCGTTGAGAAGTCCGTGCCTGGGGAGAAAACCCCCAGCGCCCCCTCCTCGGAGACGCAGGAGGAGTTTGTGGACGACTTCCAGGTCGGGGAACGAGTCTGGGTGAAGGGGAACAAGCCTGGATTCATCCAGTTCCTCGGGGAGACCCAGTTTGCCCCTGGTCAGTGGGCCGGGATCGTCTTGGACGAGCCCATCGGCAAGAACGACGGCTCGGTGGCGGGTGTGCGCTACTTCCAGTGCGAGCCGCTGAAGGGCATCTTCATCCGGCCGTCCAAGCTGAGCAGGAGCTGGCAGGCCGACGATGAGACCAACGGCCTGCAGCCAGCGCCTGCTGCCCAGGCCACACCGCCCCTGTCGGCCGCCCCGGCCCCTGCGGCCGCCCCGAAGGCACCCCAGCCCTCCGCGAAGGAGGCACCGGCCACCCCTCACATCAGCAACCTGACCAGGACGGCCAGCGAGTCCATCTCCAACCTCTCGGAGGCTGGCTCCCTCAAGAACGGGGAGCAGGAGCTGAAGCTCGGGGACCGGGTGCTGGTGAGTGCCGAGGGCAGCGGTCGCGGGTGGGTGTCCATTCGCCTGTCTGGTCCATCAGCTTTCCCAGACTCGCGGTTTGGGTGGAAGCACGAGCAGCCAGGACACCTGGTCCTGCAGTTTCCAGCGTGATGGATGCGTGCGGGGATGCTGCCAGTTTTACCAGTTTAGCCAAAACAGGGTGGAGGGGTCATGCCGTGGGGAGGCCGTGTGCTTTGGATGCCTCTGACCCGGGGTTTAAGTCTTGGTCCCATGTACAGTCCCCCAAGCACATCCCGGAGTGATCCCTGAGCACCAAGCCAGAAGTAAGCCCTGAGCACTCTGACTGTGACTCAAAAAACAAACCAATGAACAAAGTTGGAAATCGGTTCCATTGCTCTGGTTTGTGATGTTTGTGTTTGGGGCGTCACAGGGCTCACCCCGAGCCGCTCCAGGCCATTCCGTGCGCAAGCCCTGAGCCGTCTCTCCAGACGTGTGTGGTTTGGTGTTTGGGCCACACCTGGCCATGCTCAGGGCTTCCTCCTGGTGCTGAACTCAGGGATCTGGTAGGGCTCAGGGGACCATCTGGGGTGTCGGGGATGGACCCTGGGTAGGCCACGGGTAGGGACCCGTCTCCGGAACATTCTCAAGAGTATGTTTTGCTGTCTTGGTTGCTCGATCTTCAGACTCAGCACCTGCTCTTGGGTTTCTCTGAGCAGCTCCTGGAAGGCCTTCGGTGGGGGCGAGGGGGCACCCTTTGTGAGATGAGTTTCTGGTGGGGGTCACCAGGTCCCTGCACATGGCATCCTCAGTCCACCCCAAGCCCATTCCTCTGCACAGCTCCCCTAAGCAGAGGCGCTTGGCTGTAGACAACTGTTCTCCCCAGCAGAAGCACTCAATAACGCTTTCAGAACCCGTGGGAAGCGGCCGGGAAAAGTCACCTCGGGGACGTCTGAGGCGGGCGGCTCTGACCAGACAGACTGGGGGCTGGCCCGGAGCCAGTGGCTTCCCGGGGACCACAGGGATGGCCATCGCCAGGCCGGTGTCAGAGCTGTGGAGGCCGGAGAGGAGAGCTGTGCAGGCGCAGGGTGGCCCTCGGAGGGTCCTGGAGGGTCACGGTCAGGGTTCAGGGATGGCCAAAGAGTAACACGGGGAGGGAATTGGAGCTGGAGGAGACTCACGGTTTAAAGACTGTTTGGGGGGCTGGAGCAGTAGTACAGCAGAGAGGGCGTTTGCCTTGCACTCAGCAAACTGGGTTCCCCGGTATCCCATAGGGTCCCCTAAGCATCGCAGGAATGATTCCTGAATGCAGAGCCACGACTCACCCCTCAGCATCGCCAGGTGTGACCCAAAGACCCAAAGAAGAAAAAAGACTTTTTTTTTTTAACTTGCATTCACAACCGTCCACACCCGGACATAGGGACACCAGTGTCGTTGGAACAAGGGAGCGGGGACACTGCCACTGGCTCTGCGGTGAATAACTCTGATCAGTTATTCATTTATTGGTGGTGGTGCTCAGGGCTGAGTCCTGGCCCTGTGCTCAGGGACCACATCCGGGCAGGTGTGTGCAAGGCCAACGCCCTGCCCGCTGTGCTGTTCCATCGCTCCATACCTCAGCTCGAGCACGCCTTTCAAAATGAAGTTTTTGAGGGTTTTTTTGGGGGACCACAACCAGCATAATGGCTGTTTTCTGAAAGAAGAAGGGGGAAAAAAGAAAACCCAAACACTTTCTTTGGTCTTTTTCCTAATTCAAGGAAGGTTTGCTTGGCGCTCCACGGCCTAACGCAGCCGTGGTCAGGAGGCCGTGGCGAGTGGGGGCTGGCCTCGGGGCACCGAGGCGAAGCTCCCGTGCAGGGCTGGCGCCCTCCCGGCTCTCCAAAGGGCCTCCTGCCCTTTGCCCCATTCTTCCCTGCGCACAGGAAGTCCAGGTTCTGCGCCAGCTGGCCCCGATGTTTACGTGACTGACCTCGGAGGAGCCCTTCGGAGGCTCTGAGACGGCTGTTCCAGCCTTAGGCCTGTGGAAGGCGGTCCCCTGCCCCTGGCACTCCCTGTCACTGGCAGTGGACAGACTGCCCCCATGCTTGTGCTACTTTGGTTCTCTCTGGAGACTCAGGGACCCTCAGTGGGCTCACTGGAAATGCCCAGCTCTGACCTCAAGTCCCGTCTGTGCTCGCAAGTAGGCAGGGGTCGCAGAGCGGGACAGTCAGTCTTATGGTGTCTCAGAGCGGGAGGTCACTCTGTCCGTCCTGTGGCGTCTCAGAGCCCAACCGTGAAGAGCTTCTCCGGGCTGATGTGCGGTGGTTCTCCTGACCTTGGGAGATCACTTCCCTTCTCTCCAGCTGAGCTCTGACAGAATGTTCTGGAGACAGGCTTGCGGCAGTTTTGGGCAGATGATATTTCCAGGATATGAAGTCAGGGTCTTGAGAGACGTGACTGGCTTCCAGCTGTGCTGTTCCAGGAGGCTGTTTCCGGGTCAGGGACGGCATGTTCTGTGCCAAATTCTTCGCCGATGAACTTTGCAGCCTCTTCTCAGCCCAGGGCCGCCACCCCAGCCACCTGTCTCTTGTTCTTTTATTCCTTGTCACACTCACAGTGCCCAGGGCCCACGCCTGGCCACGGAGGCTGTGCCAGGGCCTTTGCACATGGCACTTCAGGACTCACAGAGACAGTCCTGGGTGACGCTGCTACCCCTCGTGCTGCGAGTGACCCCCGAGCACGTGAACCCAGTCCTGCCCCAGACCCGAAAAAAGAAAACCGCGCTCTCAGGCATTATTAGTTGAGGTCTCTCTCTCTCTCTCTCTCTCTCTCTCTCTCTCTCTCTCTCTCTCTCTCTCTCTCTCTCCCCCCCCCCCTTTCTGTTTTGACTTTTTGGTTTTGGGGCCACTCCTGGCAGTGCTTATGGGTCACTCAGGCTTTGCACTCAGGAATCAGTCTTGGCGGGCTAGGGGGACCATCTTGGGTGCTGAAGATTGAACCCAGGGTGGCCACACACAAAGCCAGTGCCCTTCCCCCGGTGCTCTGGCCCTTTTTGTCAGCATTCCCGTCAGTGTCCAGCGCTGTGATTCTGTTTTGCTCTGCGTCCCGGGGGCCAAGCATCAAGCCAAGGCATAGTGAAGGAGAACTGGAAAATCGAACTCCGCTAAGATATGAGAACAGTCATTTTCCTCTAGCTGGTTTCTGGCTTAATTGTTCTCCAGCGGTGGGGTTGCCACGGCTCTGCTCCCACACCCACGGGGCAGCGACCCCCTCGCCACACCAGGTGGCTGGCCTGGGTCAGAGATTCCCAGGGGTGTGGTCAGCCAGGCCACCGGTGTAAGCGAGTGGGCGTGAACGCCGCTGCCTTGCATGGACACTGAGCAGCAGCGTCTGCTCACCCTGTAGGGGTTGCAGGGGGAAATGGCACCTTGACCTTTGGGGTTTCTTCCGGAAATCCCTACTCTGAAGCCAGAATGTTCCTTCGCGGGGGTGGGGGCGCTTTGCGCAGTCCAGAGTGCCTGACCCGGTCCCTCTGGCAGGTGGGAGGCGTGGAGGCCGGTGTGGTGCGCTTCCTCGGGGAGACGAACTTCGCCAAGGGGGATTGGTGCGGCGTGGAGCTGGACAAGCCGCTGGGCAAGAACGATGGCGCCGTGGCCGGAACGAGGTGGGTCCTCCTGCCCCCCCCAGACAGCCTGGGGCAATGCACGGTGCCCGGGAGGCGCTGAGGAGACTGCAGGCCACTTCACTTGGTTCTTAGGCGGGGCCACTTCCGGTGGCACTCGGGGACCCTGCAGGGATGTGGGGACAGCCTGGGGCTCCCACATGCAGCTGTGCTTGCCCGCAGGAACCCCCGGGCCTGCTGTCGCCCTTCAGATGCCGGGGAGGCTGCTTGGAATCGCCCTTGGTTTGCGCGGTGGGGGTGGGAGGCGTGCGAGGGAGTGTGTGTGTGAATGTATGAATGTGTGTGCTTCGGAGTATGGATATGTATGTAGGAGGGTGTGTGTATGTGAGCGTGTGAGTGTGGGGCTGTGAATGTTGGTGAGGGCATGAGCATGTGAGTGTTGTTGGGGGTGTGAGCATGTTTGTGAGGGAATGAGAGCGTGTCATTGTTGGTTTGAGAGCGTGCAAGTGTTGGTTGGGTGTGCGTGTGTGTGACTGGGGCTGTGGGAGTGTGGGAGTGTTTGTTGGGGTTTGAGTGTAAGTGTGTTTTTGTTGGGGTGTGAGTGTGAGTGTGGGACGTTGGGAGTGTGGGAGTGTTGGTTGGGGTGTGAGTGTGTGGGAGTGTGGGAATATCGGTTGGGGTGTGAGTGTGTGTGTTAGTTGGGGTGTGAGTGTGTGAGTGTGGGGCTGTGGGAGTGTTGGTTGGTGTGTGAGTGTGTAGGAGTGTGGGAATATCGGTTGGGGTGTGAGTGTGTGTGTTAGTTGGGATGTGAGTGTGTGAGTGTGGGGCTGTGGGAGTGTTGGTTGGGGTGTGAGTGTGTAGGAGTGTGGGAATATCGGTTGGGGTGTGAGTGTGTGTGTTAGTTGGGGTGTGAGTGTGTGAGTGTGGGGCTGTGGGAGGGTATGAGTGCTTGTTGGGGAGTGAGTGTGTGTGAGTTTGGGGCTGTGGAAATGTGGGTGTGTTTGTTGTGCTCTGAGTGTGTGTATGTTGGGGTGGGAGTGTGAGAGTGTGGGAGTGTTGGTTGGGGTGTGAGTGTGTGTGTTTCTTGGGGTGAGTGTGGGAGTGTTTATTGGGGTGAGAGTGTTTGGGAGTGTTGGTTGGGGTGTAAGTGTGTGTTAGTTGGGGTTTGAGTATGTGTGAGTGTGGGGCTGTGGGAGGGTATGAGTGTTTGTTGGGGAGTGAGTGTGTGTGAGTGTGGGGCTCTGGAAATGTGGGAGTGTTTGTTGGGGTGTGAGTGTGTGTATTTGTTGGGGTGGAAGTGTGAGAGTGTGGGAGTATTGTTTGCGATGTCAGTGTGTGTGTTCCTTGGGGTGAGTCTGGGAGTGTTTGTTGGGGTGTGAGTGTGTGTTGGTTGGGGTGTGAGTGTGTGGGAGTGTTGGTTGTGTGTGAATGGGTGTTTCTAGGGGAGTGAGTGTGTGCGAGTGTGGGGCGGCTGTGAGCATGTGGGAGTGTTTGTTGGGGTGTGAGTGTGTGTGTGTGTTGGGGTTTGAGTTTGTGGGAGTGTGGGAGTGTTGGTTTGGGTGTGAATGTGAGTGTTTGTTTTGGTGGAAGTGTGAGAGTGTGGGAGTGTTGGTTGCGATGTGAGTGTGTGTGTTTCTTCGGGTGAGTCTGGGAGTGTTTGTTGGGGAGTGAGTGTATGTGAGTGTGGGGCTGTGGAAATGTGGGAGTGTTGGTTGGGGTGCGAGTGTGTTTGTTGGGGTGAGTGGGAGTGTGAGAGTGTGGGAGTGTTTGTTGGGGTGTGAGTGTGTGTGAGTGTGGGGCTGTGGAAATGTGGGAGTCTTGGTTGGGGTGTGAGTGTGAGTGTGTGTTGGTTGGCGTGAGTGTGTGGGAGTGTTGGTTGGGGTGTGTGAGTGTGTGTGTTTGTTGGGGAGTGAGTGTATGTGAGTGTGGGGCTGTGGAAATGTGGGAGTCTTGGTTGGGGTGTGAGTGTGTTTGTTGGGGTGAGTGGGAGTGTGAGAGTGTGGGAGAGTTGGTTGGGGTGTGACTGTGTGGGAGTGTGGGGCTGTGGGAGCGTGTTAGTTTGTGGGGGTGTGAGACTGTGGGACTCAGTGGACTCCGCGGTCGGCGCCTGTCTCTCTTGCCAAAGGTGTCTTTTGTCCCCCCCTCCTCGTTGTCCGCAGGTACTTCCAGTGTCAGCCCAAGTACGGCTTGTTTGCTCCCATTCACAAAGTCACCAAGATCGGCTTCCCCTCCACGACGCCGGCCAAGGCCAAGGCGGCCCCCGCGAGGCGTGTGATGGCCACCACCCCCGCCAGCCTGAAGCGCCGCCCGTCGGCCTCCTCGCTCAGCTCCGTGAGCTCCGTGGCCTCATCCGTGAGCAGCAGGCCCAGCCACACGGGACTAGTAAGCAGCCCCCTCCCCGCCCTGTGCGATACTCAGGCCCCCACAGACTCCCAGGCCCCAGGGGCGAGAGGCGGAACAGGACCGGGTGGGCTGGGCAGCTCCGGGGGGCAGGCGAGTGGCTTCCCAGCCACCACCGGTGACAGGAGCAGGGATGGGCCTTTCCTCCGGTGCTCAGGGCTCGTCTCCGGCCCCAGGCTGCCGTAGCGATGAAGTGGGGAAGCTGAAGGGGGCGTCGGAGGGTCAGAGCGGGACCCAGGGACTCTGGGGAACGCTTGGCGCTTGGCGTTGCTTGTTTGCTCTCTCCGTCCCTCCCTGCTCCCTCCTGTCCCTCTGCACCCCTGTCGACACAGAGGGGCCTCGACTTCTGTCCATTGCGGGGCCGCAAGTCAAAGCTGGGGCCTCGTGGCTTCTCCCCTCACGTCTCTCTGAGTCCTAAACACTAAAGTGTGTCCGACTGTGCAAGGGTGTCCTGAGATATTGTCCACAGGGAAACGGGCCCACGATGGAGACGTGTCCCGGGGGGCTGGCTTTGCTGGGGGCTGCGCTTCCTGCCGCCCCCTCTGCTCCCTGCATTGACCCTCGATGCGGAAGAGGAGGGAGTGAGTGTGTGTGCAACGGAAGATACAAAACAGGTGACACGGAAACGGGAGCCAGGAGGCCGCGCGCCGTGGGCACAGGCCTGGGGCCAGTCCTGTCTTGCTCGACCACCACCAGGTTTCCCTGCCCTGCCTCCATCCTCACTTCCGACTCCTCCTTCCCCTCGCCTCGCCATTCAGGAGGGGAGCAGACTCAGAAGCCCCTCTCCTTCCCTCGCGAGCCAGCCCGTTTGTGGAATTCGGTTTTGTTTTTCTGCTTGACTGTGGGCCACACCCTGCAGTGCTTGAAGGGGCCGTTTGCAGTGCTGGGGTTGAGCCGGGCCTCCCACCTCCGAGCAAGAGCCCCACGCCTGAGCCGTATCTCCAGCCTCCCCCCGCTGTCTTGTTTTGTTCTGTTCTGGGGTCACACCTGGCAGAGCCCAGGGCTTTCTCCCGCCTCTGTGCTCGGGATTATTCCTGGCGGGCCTCCGGGATTGAGCCTGGGCAGCGCTGGGGCTTCGCTCTCCAGCTCTTTGGCCCCTGCCTTGCATATCTTTACGCAGGGTGGAGCTCACTCCTACACTGCACATCACCGTTAGCACATATGACAGGAATATAGAATGAGTCTGTGTGGCTTCATGGAAGTATACACCCACAACGTAATTCCATACGTGCACACACAAGCGTTCACACACACACAGGCACTCATACATGTACACGTAGTGCATACCGTATATACACAGGCTGATGGGTGTATACACACAGGCACGTACCTGCATAGACAGAACGCGCGCACGCACACAGCTGTGTGTAGACATGCCCACAGGAACGTACGTGCACGCATACATACATGCACACAGGTCCGTGCGTGCCCTGGGGGAGCCTCCCGGTTCGCGTGTTGGCTGAGTTGCTCTTCTGAGGTACCAGGCTCCCACAGAGGGTCCGGCCTTGCTGGCATGGAGCCTGGGGCCTCACACACCATGCGCAGGGCAGAGGCTTTGGCATCAACATCCTGAGTTCAGCTCGTGGCCCCGACCTTGCCCAGCCCCTCAGCACTGCCTCCCCCCATACCAGGGGTGCTGCTTTCTCCCTGCTCCGGCGCCTGAACCTCGCAGTCTGGTCTCCACGGTTGGCTGAAAGAAGCCGTTCGCTCCCGTGCTCGTTTCCTCAGGGAGCTGTCTCGGGCCCAGGAAGCGCGTGCGTCCAGCCGGCCCCACCCGCTCAGGCCAGGAGGCTCGGGGAACACCGCCGCCCACCTTTCCTAGTTTATTTTTGCTCTTTGGTTTTGGGGCTCACCTGGCAGTGCTCAGGGACTCCAGGCGTGGTGCTTGGGGGCTGCTCCCGGTGGAGGGGGTTTGAGCCCAGGTCTTGGTGGAGACCCCCAAGGCTGTCAAGCTCTTCCCAGCCACCCCTTGAAATCAGAGTTGACTGCAGTTCCCGGCAGCACTGCACATGGCTGGGCCCGAGAGCTCGTGTGCTCCTAGAAATTTTATTTATTTATTATTTGGTTTTGGGGCCACACTCAGGGGTGCTCAGGGCTTATTCCTGGCTCTCTGCTCTTGGGGTCACTCCTGACAGTGCTGGATCTTGAACCTCTGAAAGCACCTTCCATCCCCCAAAAAAGAAATCTCTTTGGCCCTGGGGAGAGCATTTAATCTGACCAATATACTTTAAGTGTATTGGGGAGTCACGGCCAGATCCTTACGCAGAGGCAAGGATGACCCGCTCCCCGGACAGAACCAGGTAGCTCGAGAGTTCGCAGCAGGCAAAGCAGCAGTGGACAGCCTGGGCCCTGCTGGGCCTGTCAGTCAGCAGGCAATTGGCAGCAGCTCAGATGATGCAGGGAAGCGGCAAGAGCAGGGCGATGGGTCAGGCGTGGCCTGGCAGAAGGAGCAGACGTCCTCGGCCACCCCCGCCCCAGCGCCCGCCACCGTGTGCCTGAAGAATGAAGACCAGGTCCCGCTGTGTCCCCGCCTGCAGGGGCCGTTGTGCCGCAAGGAAACTGGTCTGCAGAGCGACCATGAGTGACCACGAGCCCAGGACAGAACGGACAGGACCCCCGGTCCCCGCGGCCCTCCAGCCCACTCCCCTCCCCTCCTCACTGTCTTTGCCTCTTCTCTCCTTCCCTTTGTGCTTGGTCTTCCCCTGAGCTGCCCTTGCTGTCCTGCTCGCTGGGCGTGAGCCTTCACACATGCTCACCCACCACTTGTTCCTTTTTTTCCTGGATTTTGGGCCACACCCCAGCAATGCTCAGGACTTACTCCGGGCTCTGCACTCAGGAGTCACTCCTGGTGGGCTCGGGACCCTATGGGGTGGGTACCTGGGATCCAGTTCGGGCAGCGGCGTGCAAGGCCAGCGCCTTCCCCGCAACTTTACCATTCTAGCCTCTCATCCCCCCTTTCGAAGGCAGATGGCACAGGGGTCTTTTATGGGGTCACACCCAGTGACCCTCAGGGGCACGGGGCCATTCCCAGAGACAAGAGTCTCTGGTTACTGCTATTCAGGCCTGGGGCGGGTGCTGGGGAGAGCGAGGTGAGCTGGAAGGAAGAGGAAGAGAGAAGGGCCAGGCTGCCCTGGGAGACCCTGACGGACCTGCAAGGCTGAAGATGCTGGAGCCGGCCTCAAGCTCATGCCAAGGGCTCAGCCTTAAGGAAGCTCAGGCCAGAGCGGGCTGTGGAGGGGGCTGCCTCCGGCTCTGCAGAAGAGTCTCTGGATTCCCACGAGGCCCGAGGTCAGTGGAGCCCAGGTCCCGTCCAAGGACCTTCGGGAAGGTTTCAAGACGCTTCTGCTGAGAGTCGCTGGCCCATATGCACGGATGCAGCGCTGCTCCATCTGCTTTGCTGAGGATAGCCGTGTGCATGCCCGCGTCCGCCACCCCCACCCCCTTCACGTCTCTTTTTCCTTTGCAGTTGCCAGAAACCTCCTCTCGCTATGCCTGCAAGATCTCCAGCACAACCGCCCTCCAGGAGGTGCTGAAGGAGAAGCAGCAGCACATTGAGCAGCTGCTGGCCGAGCGAGACCTGGAGCGGGTGGAGGTGGCCAAGGCCACGAGCCATGTGGGGGAGATAGAGCAGGAGCTGGCCCTGGCTGGGACGGGCACGACCAGGTGACGTCTGTGCAGACGGCAGTGCCGGGGCCAAGAGACGCTTGCGGCAAATGCTGGGCGCGACCTTGGTGCAGGCGGTGCAGGGAGAGGCCGTGGGTCCCCGTCTGCCGTCGTTGCGGTGGCATCCGGCGCGTGGTTTGATCGCATGCACCTTCTGCTCACCCCGTGGGGGTTCAGGGAGCGCCGAGTTATCCCCGCTGGTGCTTTCGTGGTGTGGTTCCCCCCCGGCCTTCCAGAAACGCTGCAGCTTAGGTGGGAGACGTGTTCAGCATGCCGCGGTGGCAGGTGGCGGTGCCAGCCCACAGAGGGCTGTCGGGGGCGGGCGAGGACACTCACGCGCAGTTGCCTCCACAGCACGTCCTGGAGCTGGAGGCCAAGATGGACGAGCTGCGGGCCATGCTGGAAGCGACCGACTGGGAGAAGGTGGAGCTGCTGAACCAGCTGGAGGAGGAGAAGAGGTGAGGCCGTGCCAGGAGCTGGGGGGCTGCCTCGGGTGGGGTGCTCCTGGCCTTCCAGGGCTGTGAGAACCACAAACTAGCGGGTGCCCAGTCCTGAGAGTGGCCTCATTGGGGGGGATGGGGGGAGCTCACTGGAGCCCAGCCACCCCCGGCCCTCCCTGCTGTGTCCACGTGGCCTGGTGTTCAGGAGACCTGTGCTGGGTGGCCGGGAACTGTCGTATCCCAGTGGGGCCCTGTGGGAGTCCCTGGGGTTAATCCTGGGCGGGAGGAAACCCGCAGCACCCATGGGGCACGGCAGCAGACAGGCAGGGCTCAGGCCAGGCTGCAGACAGACGGACACGGGGTGCCGGCCAAGACGGTCTTCTCAGATGGGCTCCCGGCAGTGTGGTGCCCAGGGGCACTGCCAGTGCCCGGCTCAGCCCCTCAGCTCCACATGCCGAACTCGCCACGTCCCCTGGGAGCCCCTCCTGCCCCCCCGCCCTGGCCCCGAGTCATTTGCTGCTTCTCCCCCAGGGGCTCAGTTGTTGTCCCGATGCGGGGACAGGCGCTGGCTGGGAGGGACTGGCACGCGCACCTGGTCAGTCTCTAACCACCTCTGTTAGCTGCGAGGCAGAAAAGGCTGATATGACAGTGCGCCTGGCGTTGGCTCGACAGAGCTTCCTCCTGTAGCCTGCGGGTACCACCCAGTGCTCACAGCCGAGGGGACTCGCTGACTTTTTTTTTTTTCTTTTTGGGTCAATCCAGCGATGCTCCCTGCCTCGGCACTCAGGAATTACTCCTGGCATTGCCTAGGGGACCATAATGGGATGCTGGGAATTGAACCCGGGAAGGCCACGTGCCAAGACAAATGCCCTGTCCGCTGTACTCTCGCTCTGGCCCTCGCTGACTCTCTCAGCCCTCCTGTGTGTGGAGGCGGGGGCTGGGTCAGGCGCGCATCTACAGGATGGTGGCCCTCATGGGGGGCAGCAGTGACGCCCCTCACAACTCTCCCTCTCCCCCACAGGAAAGTGGAGGACCTCCAGTTCCGAGTCGAAGAGGAGTCCATCACCAAAGGCGACCTGGAGGTAAAGCCCGGGCAGGTCCCAGAGGCTTGCAGGGTGCAGGCAAGGATGCGGGGTGGCCTGGCCGACCCCGCCGGGACCACTTCTGCTGGAGACTCCGAATCAGACAGGGATACCAGGGGTCATGCACCTGGCAGGGCCCGGCGGAGGCACCTCTGCTCCTTGGGGCCGGAGGCTGCTGTTGATGAGCGTTTTCCTCTCGTTCTGACAGTTGGGTCTACGCCTTTGCCTCAGCTTTGATTTTCAGTCGAGCAGCACAAATCAAATCCTTTAGAACCCCAGTTTATTGGAAGGTATTCCTTAAAACAAGAAAAAGCAAACAGTCAGTTTGCAAAAGAATAATTTCTATTTCTGCTTCTTTTCCTTCCTGTTTTAAGTTCATGGAAATTTTGTTTTCCCACCAGAAGGAGGTGAAGGCCCTGCAGGCGGCCTCCGAGAAGCTCGCCAAGGAGAACGAGGGGCTGAGAACTAAGCTGGACCATGCCAACGAGGAAAACACGGACGTGATCGCCCCGTGGAAGTCCAAGCTGGAGACGGCCATCGCCCCGCACCAACAGGCCATGGGCGAGCCGAAGGCGTCCGTGAGCCGGGGCGTGGGCGCCGAGGCGGCCGAGCTGGCCGAGCTCAAGATGCAGATGGAGAGGCTGCAGTTCGAGTACCAGCAGGAGGTAGAGAACTCGAAGGCCCAGCAGGTGGCTGAGCGTGCAGCGCACGCCTTTGAGCTGCAGACGCTCAGGTCGCGGCTGGTCAGGACAGCCCAGGAGCAGAAGAACAGCCTGGAGGCCGCGCGGGCCAAGCTCGACCAGACCGAGGACCAGCACCTGGTGGAGATGGAGGACGCCCTGAACAAGCTGCAGGAGGCGGAGACGAAGGTAACGCACCTGGAGGGGTTGCGGGCCATGTGTAGGCAGCAAGCCCAGGCCCTGGCCGACGCCACGGCGCAGCTGGAGGCCACCCAGCAGAAGCTCTTGCAGCTCGATGGGCTCCGAAAGGCCAGTTCCGAGGTCAATTGGGAATGGAGAAGCTCAGGCAGCAGCTCCAGGTGGCTGAGCAGCAGATTCAGGAGTTAGAGAATGCAAAGCGGGCCGAGAGTGGCAGGTTGGTACCCGGGTGCCCTCGCCCACTTCCACGCTCGCTCCCTGCATGCTGTGTGTCTGTCTGCTCGCCGCCGTGTTCCGGCTTGGTGCTGACAGGTCTCCCGGTCACGTCCCGTGCGGTTCCCTCTGATGGGACTGAGAACGTGTCGGCACGATTCTGGGACTGTCATTGGTCCCCAGCACCCAGAGGCCGTGCAAGCCTTGGCCCCGGCTAATCGGGCCCGTCTGGGGTCTTTCTGAAACTGAGAACTCTTCACAAGGCCAGTGAGAAAACAAGATAGGAGCCCCCAAAGCAAACCTCTGCCCCCCCCTTAGGCCCCCTGCGTACTCGCCGAGTCCGCCCAGACCCTTGGGCTCAAGTTCAGGCCTTCGTGTTTTCACTTGACTGCTCAAAGGCATTTTTTCATGTATCAAAGAAATGTTAAGGTTCGAAGCTCAGTGGGGAGAAATAAAGCGGCTGGAACTAGTGCAGTGAGAGGGCACTTGCTGTGCACGTGACCCACCGGGGGATCCCCAGCATCCCCCATGGTCCCCCAAGCACCCAGGAGGAAGCCGTGACCTCTGCCGGGTGTGAACCCCAAAACAAGAAGGAAAATAATGTACACACACATATATGTGTGTACATACATAACATGTACATATGTGTACATCTTTATATCCATATAATAAGTGTATTTTAATTCATATGTACATATTTTGATACATTTTCAGTTTTACACACTTGGTCCCATGTATAGTTTATACATATATGTGTATGCCTATACATATATGTGCTTGTATGTATATGTGTGTGTATACATATCTATAAGCCAGTGGAAAGAAAACGGAACCGAGCTTACATCAGAGGAAACCAGGGCTGCTGAGCGGCGGCCATGGCCCGCGTGTGTGTTGGTGCCCGGCCTCTTTCCACCACGCACCAGAGCCAGGGCTACGTCTCCTCCCTGGACCACCTGCACGGCCCAGTTCTGTGGCCAGCAGCCTCGTGTGCATGCTCAGGTCAGTCCCATTCCAGTAACCTGACCGTCAGCGGTCAGCTGCCCAGCGCAGCGCACGCCAGTAGCCTGCTGCGGCTCATGGCTGCTGAGCTGGACAGAGAAGATAGCCCTTGCTGCAGAAAGTTCTGGAAAGTACATGGCGGTTAAACTATGGTGTGCATTGAGACTCAGAAACGAAGACGCACAACCCGTTGCTGACGGGCAGGGAGAGCAGGTGAGGGAGACTCTGGCCCGTGTGCGGCCACTCCTCCTGGAGCCCCTGGGCCCCTCCCAAATTTCTGCAAACACTGCCCTCCCATTGTTCATCGATTTGCTCGAGCGGGCCCACTAATGTCTCCATTTTGAGACTTGTTGTTACTGTGTTTGGCAAGCAAAACCTGTTGGCTTCAGTCTCCAAAGCTTGGTGGATTAGTCTGGATTTTCTATAAAGTGTAAAACTTTTGGGACTAAGTCCATTTCCTGCCTCTGTTTGTCCCTGTGAAAGTCGTTTTGCAAGCAATGGTTGCTTTTCCCTTCCCCTCCTGCACAAAGTTCAACAACAAAATACTTTTTGTAGTTCTTTGAATTGTACTGGAAACTAGTTTTTTAATGCATCCCTTCTATGACAGAGTGATGGATTTTGTAATGGAATAATTGAAGTGGGGGGAAAAATCTTATGCCCCAATGTCAAGATCCAACTGTACTTAAAACTTCCGGGGAGCTGTCAGGAATAATTTCAGACGGCATTTCAAAAATAAAATGGCTGATAGTAGAATGGGTAGTGCTGCCTTGTACTTGGCCAACCCGGGTTGATCCCCAGCATCCCGTATGGTCCTCCGGCCCTGCCAGCAGTGATCCCTGAGCACAGAACCCTGAGCGAGACCCGAACACCACCAGGTGTGGGGCCCCCATCCACAAAATAGGCAGGTAGATATGTTGACCCTGTGAAGCTAACTGCGTTTGAGCCTCTCCATCCTGCGAGTGTGTGTGTGTGTGTGTGTGCGTGTGTGTGCGTTTGTGTGCGCGCACGTGTTTGTGTGTTTGTGTGTGCATGCACGTATGCACGCGTGTGCAGGTAAGACTACTCTGCCATTTTCATTTCTGGTGTTTAGGCCACATTAAGTGCTTGGCTTGCTTGTGCCTGCTTGATCTCATTCTTGTTTCCGTTCTTGCCCGCTTTTGTTTCTGTAGTCATTAACTTACCTAATAACATCAGAGGAAATTGAGCTGATGTCGGAGGATCGCAGGGCCCTGAGGTCAGAGAATCAATTGCTGGCGAAGGAGAAGCTCTCTCTGAAGTCAGAGAGAGAGTCATTGCTATTGAAGTTGAAGGAAGCGGAGGCCAAAAACTCTTCGCTGCGGGAAGAGCAGAGGAAGCTCTGGCTGTTGAACCAAGCGATTCTTTTCGATAAAGAGAAGGTCATCGAGGCCAGGCGGGCCGCAGAGAAGCTCTGGCAGGAGGAGCGGCTCGGCCAAGAAGCCCTCGAGGCAGAGAAAGAGAAAGTGCTGGAAGAAGCCAGGGCGGTGCAGGAGGAGCTCCAGAGGGTGGGCGCGGAGAACGACGCCCTGCAGGTCGCCAAGGTGGGGCTGCAGGCCCTGGTGGAGGAGCTGCAGATGAGCAAGAGCAGCCTGGTGGCTGAGTGTAAGAAGGGCCTGGAGGAGAGGGGCCAGCTGGAGGAGCATGTCAAGAAGCTGGTTCTGGAGAACCTATCCCTGGCCAAGGACAAGGACAACATCATCCAGAAGCTGCAGTGCTCCTATCATGAGCTGGCTTGGGATCAGAAGTCGCTGGCGCAAGAGATCGAGGAGCTCACGGCCGAGAAAGAGTCGGCCCTCGAGAAGCAGTTGGAGCTCGACAGCCTGTGCGTGGCCCTGAAGCTGGAGCGTGACGGCCTGGCTCAGAGGAACAAGGAGCTGCAGCTCGAGAAGGACCTGCTGCGCCAGGAGCAGGAGAAGCTGGGCGCCAGCCTGGAGGCGGCGCTGCAGGCCAAGGAGCTGCTGGGCACCGAGGCCAGCTGCCTGCGCACGCAGCTGGACGAGGCCACCAAGACCGTGCACAAGGCCGAGCTGGAGGCGCTGCAGCAGGAGCTCCAGGGGCTGGCGGCCAGCCAGGGCACCCTCGAGGCGGCGCTGCAGGAGGCCAGGGACGCAGCCCGCAGCCTGGAGAAGACACACGCCAGCGTGCTGCAGGCCAAGGAGGCGCTTGACGCCGAGCGGCAGGAGGAGTGCCGGCGGCTGGCGGAGGACAGGCTCGCGGCACAGCAGGCCCTGGCGCAGGAGCGGGAGGCCCGCGCCAAGGAGACCCAGGCGGCCGCCCACGAGGCCAGCCAGCTGCGAGGCCGCCTGGGGCTGCTGGAGCAGGAGGCGGAGGAGCTGCGGGCGCGTGCCCAGGGGCTGCAGGCCGAGCACCTGGACCTGCTGGAGGAGAAGGCGCGGTCAGAAGAGAAGGTGGCCGAGATCCTGCGGGAGAAGGAGCAGCTGGCCGGCAGTTACTTCCTCCTCCAGAAGGAGGTCAGTCGGCTGGCCCAGACCAGCAGCCACGTCTCGGCCAACCTCCTGGAGGCCCAGAAGGAGAACCGCATACTGAGGAAGGACAAGATCAGGCTCACCTTCAAGATCAGAGAGCTCAAGACGCTGCACTCTTTTACGGTAAAGTGGAGCAGGCCCGACCCCCGTTGGCCCCGGGCACCCCCTTTTAGCGGTTAAGAGGATTGCTCTTCGTCGGCACAAGGAGCGGTGGATCCCCACGGAACCCGTGTGTCACGGGCTGTTTGCTGCGGGCGCAGGGACAGCTCGTCACCACGTGCCTGCTGACCTCTAGGACAAGGCATAAGCTGTGAATAAAACCAAGAAAGGACAGTATGTTCATTTCCGGGGGGAGTTCTCACGGAAGATTGCACTGTGGCTCTTCAAGACGTAAGGGAAGGCATGAGAGAGGCACTAAGTTGTAAAGCAAAGCATTGTCTTCCGGGGGGACTTTGAGCGGTTGCCCTGAGTCTGCTCACTTGGGTCTCGGGGGTGCCCTGTGCCACCAGCAGTGTGCCCGGTGCAGGGCAGCCTGGACTCGAGGGTGCCTGGTGCCGGGCAGGTGTTCTCTCTTCCCACCTCACTCAGGGTTTACCTTTCTCCCATTCCCACACCTGTGCTCACTGCTCACATCTCCTCTCCTTCCCCCCCCCCCCCCCCACGCTTTCCACCCAGGCCTGCTTAGCTGTCCGCTCATGTCATTTTTATTCTGTGTGAGGAATGGAGGCTCTTGGGAGCCCTGGGCTGTTTCTGGGTGTCAGTCTTGCTGCTGAGCGGCTCAGACGTGAGTCCCCGCAGGATGAACCGGCGGCCAGCGGGGCCGGAGCCACTGTGGCAGGTGTGGGTGGTTTGTGGGGCGTTTCGCGCTGTGTTGTGCCACTGTTGCCAACCCCTCCCTGCCCCCCCCCCCCCCCGGCGTGGCTCAACGAGGTTTCTCTCTCCAGGCTGTGCAGACAGCGGAAGATGCCAGGCATTTTATGCAGCAACTGTCCCAGGAGAAGACAGAGACCCTGGCCTCCCTGGAGGACACCAGGAACACCAATGCAAACTTGCAGAATGAGGTGGGTGATGGTGGTGACCAGGGCGTGTAGGCCCGGCCTCAGCCTTGAGAGAAACTATATCCTGGGCCAGAGCGATAGCACAGCGGGGAGGGCGTTTGACTTACACACGCCAGACCCAGGTTCAATCCCCGGCATCCTATCTGGTCCCCTGAGCACTGCCAGGAGTAATTGGTCCCTGGTTCTCGCATGGGACAGGAGGGGAAGTGTACCCCTGCATGACCCCTGTATGACCCCTGGGGAGGTGCTGCGCGGAGTGACCACACAGAATCTGGGGGACATGGGGCGGCCTGGCGAGATCACTGAACAGCTGACCACTCCCAGACTGCTCGGCGGAGCAAGGAGCCCGGCAGGGACTGGACGCCCCAGTTAGCTCGCCCAGAGCCTGGGCCGGGACAGGAAGAGAAGCCACATGTGTTGACATACGCAGCATTTCAAGGCTCTTTGATGACCGTGAGAAGGCGAGCCAGTGCCCTCTGACCACACAGCCCCACTTTCCCGGGCTCGAGTGACTGCTGACGGCCTGGGCTGCTCCTCCCTCGCCAGGAGTGATCCCTGAGCACAGAGCCAGGGCATAGTCCCCACCGCACCAAACAAACCAAACTGACTACCCACAAAGGTTATAGATGAGCGTGTATACATACACAGACATGTACATATGTATATATGTGTGTATGCTTCAAAAGAGTCGGGGAATACCTACCATTTAAAATATCCGAGAGTGGGGCCGGAGCTACAGCACAGCAGGTAGGGTGTTTGCCTTGCACGTGGCCAAGCCAGGTTCCATCTCCGGCATCCCATATGGTCCCTGAGTGCAGAGCCAGGAGTCACTCCTGAGCAACGATGGGTTGTAACCCAAAAGCCCCCCCCCCAAATGAATTGATTAATCACAATAAAAGAAGCCAAAAAGAAGGAAGCTGAGGAAGAAGGGGCGGTGCTCACCTGGCGCACGTGAGAACCAGGGGCTGGGCACACGCTGCCGGAACCCCATCCCCACATGCTCCCAGCACAAGAGGTGATGCTTACGGAGTGAAAGGCCCCATGGACAAGGACACATCCCTTCAGTCAAGGGGTCACGTCCTTGCCAGAGCCGAGAAGCCAGACCCCTCCACAGCCCTTACTCCTGCTGCTCTCCCAGAACCTGGGCTTCGGGCTCCCATAAAATTGGCAAATCTTCACTTTGCCAGAGTCGAACACCACTTTGGAGGGCCTCCTTCCCATCAGGAAGGTCCGGTCGCAAACGGAAACGTCCACCAACATGTGGCTGTCCCGGCCACGTTGTGCATGCTCTGGGCGCAGAGCTGGGGAGTCTGGTCCTCTGGGCCGCCTTCCTGCTTCTTGCTCCTGTCGAGGGAGACAGCTGGGTGGGGTCTTCTGGGGTGTGCACACTTGGCTGCAGACCCCAGTGCCCGCACCTACCATCACCAGGCTTGCGTCTGGCCTGCGGCAGGAGTCAGCCTTGGGGCCTCCTTGATGTCTCTCCTTCCCAAACCCCCTTCCATCCCACCTGGCCTGCAACACTTTATAATTTGAATCCTCTCCAAGGAAGGGGACCATCTGGGTCCCAGTGCCCTGTGGAGTTCCCGCACACCCTCACTTCCTGCACTTCTGTACTTAACAGCCGTTGTCCTGGACGGCACATGTGGGCTGAAGTGAACTTTGCATGTGGGCTGTGGAGGTGGACCCTGCATGGGCTTGTTGGGAACTGAACATTTCCATGTTTTTTTGTGTTTGTTTTCTTCACCTGGAGGAAGAGAGATCTGTGTTTCTTGGCTCCAGTGTGGGAGGGCCTGGGCACTCTCAGAGACTCCTCATCAGAACTTGCCCCGAGGGAGAAAAAGAATCAGTCAGCTTTATGGTTTTCTTTCTTCTTTCTTTGGGGGCCACACCTGGCGATACTCCGGGCTTCCTCCTGGCTCTGCACTCAGGAATCACTCCTGGCTGCTCTCCAGTGGCCCCTATGGGATGCCAGGGATCAAACCTGGGTTGGCTGCGTGCGAGGCAAGCACCTTTCCCGCTGTGCTATCACTCAGACCCAAACCTGCCAGTTTTTAAGTGAAACATGAATGTTTGTGCCTATAGTCATGCTTACCTTTGTAAAGTGGGATTCCCCCCCCCCCGCCCCGTGGATTTTAAAGAAGTGAGTCTGTCTTTGTAGGAGAGGGAAGGCCCTCTTGACTCCCTGCTCTGAGAGGAACCGAGGGGGCCCAGCATGTCCTCCTGGGGTCTTCCCTGGGGCACCCGGGAGCTTGCGCTCAGGAAGGGAAAGGGGAGCTCTGGCTGCCTCCAACCCTGGGGCGGGGACTGGAAGCGGGGCCCAGCCTCCTCTGTGGCGGGCTCCGATGGCTCCCGCAGATGGCTCACCGTCTCACGCTCTCCTTTAACACAGATCGATTTCCTGAATTCCGTGATCGTGGACCTCCAAAGAAAGAATCAGGACCTCAAGATGAAAGTGGAGATGATATCCGAGGTGGCTCTCGACGGGAACGGGGACGACTCAACAATTACGACGACAACTTCGGCCCGGCCACCCCATTCTCTGCACTGTGCAGCAATCACCAGCACTTGAAGGATGACATAACCAGCTATTTGTGAAACACCGAGAATAACCATTTTACTGTCTTTACAAGGTTTACATTTTTCACTGTGGTTTTAGATGAATGTATGATGAGAAATTCAACATTACTAATTTTGGATTTTCTTACCACAAAAAGATTGAATGAAGGACCTCAACCATCAGAAGTTTATCATCCAGTTTCAATCTATTTTTCTTTATTTGAATGTTTTCTAGTTCTGTCAAAAGTGATAATGTACCATCCAGGCTACATGTATAATAAGAACTTCTATAATTATATGTATGATTTTGATGTATTTTCCTCTGGAGATTATCAGCTGTCTGACAAGTGAAAGATCTGGATCCATTGAAATTTTTAGTAATGACCATTATTGAAATTGTTTCACAAACTATGTAAAGCAGTATTAAAATTTGAGCAAACAAGTGTTCTATATCTACTTTAATAAAATTATTTATTTTTTGCCAGTGATAACTGATTATTCTCAGGTTTATTTAGAAAAGATTTTTGGCTAGCAGTGAAGAACTATAGAGTCAAATGAGTCAAACAGTTTCTACAATGGAATTCTGATACACCAATTTCTTTTTGTTTCTTTATGTTTGTGCCACCCCTGGTGATGTCTTAGGGCTTATTCATGGCTCTGCACTCAGGAATCACTCCTGACAGTGCTTGGGCAGACTATATGGAATTACAGGGATTGAAGCCAGATTGGCCAAAGCAAATGCCCTACCAGCTGCACTATTGCTCTGGACCTGTAAACCATTTTCTTAAAAGTGTTTATCTTGGGCTAAAGAGATAGTGCAGTGAGTAGGGTACTTGCATGTGGCTGATCTGGGTTCAATGGCAGGAATCCCATCCAGTCATCAGTGCCCTGGCAGGAGCAATCTCTAAGTGCAGAGGCAGGAGTAAACCCTAAGAAGCACTGGGTTGGGGGTATGGTGCCACCAGCAGGTCAGTCTGTACCTGTGAGGCGAGAGCATCAGCAGCCTGATGGCGCCTTCAGACTTCCAGGTACCCCCAAATTGCTGCCGTGCGTTTGGCCAGACCCCAAAAACTTGAGGCAGAGTTGACCAAGAAAGTAAACAGGTAAAAGATATGTGGGAGATATACCCACAAACCACCTCCAGTTCAGCTATATAATTGGAGACATGGCCTCTCTGGTTCCTGATTGAACTGCTTAACAGCCATGATCCCAGAGACTCAGAAACAAATCTCAAAACCCAATGTTTTTTGGCAGAGATGTGTCCAGTCCCTGCAGTAGGTTAGAGGCGCTGGGCCACCCCAGGTGGGAATAGATTTCGTGCCCTGGCCTGTTCTCCCTGGCAGCCCACTGGTCGCCATCCTCCAGAGGCCACAGGACAATCAGGTTTGGGCCCAAAGTGACAAGACACGTAGAGCCTCATGGGATGGGGGTGGAGCTGGCCCTTTTCTCCCCAACAAGACCCCCAAGTCGTCACCCACAAACGGCCTCTCTGGCTTCTGATCGAGCTGTTTTACGGCCATGATCTCAGAGACTCAGAAACAAATCTCGAAACTCAGCAACTTTTGGCAGAAATGCGTCCAGATCGCACAATAGGTTACTGTTGCCGGGCCACCCCAGGGGGGAAAGGGTGCTCTCCCTCCGCCTGCTCTCCCGTGGTGGCTCATTGGCCACCATCCGCCAGAGGCCATTGGACAGTCAGGTTTGGGCCCACAGTGACGAGACACGTAGGGCCTCATGGGATGGGGGTGGAGCTAGCCCTTTCCTAAACAAAAAGACCCCAAGTTGTCACCCACAAACGGCCTCTCTGGCTTCTGATCAAGCTGTTTAACGGCCATGATCCCAGAGACTTAGACACAAATCTCGGAATCCAGTGGCTTTTGGCAGAAATGCATCTGGACCCTGCCGTAGTTTACTGTCGCTGGGCCATTCCAGGGAGGAAAGGGTGCTGTCCCTCCACCTGCTCCCCCTTGGCGGCTCTGTGGCCACCATCCTCCAGAGGCCATTGGACAGTCAGGTTTGGGCCCTCAGTGATGAGACAAGGGGGACCTCATGGGATGGGGGTGGAGCCAGCCTTTTCCTCCCCGTCTCAACGTGACATCAAGTCGCCGCCCATGAACGGCCTCTCTGGGTCCTGATTAAGGTGCTGAATGACTATGATCCCAGAGACTCAGACACAAATCTCGGAATCCAGTGGCTTTTGGCAGAAATGCATCTGGACCCTGCAGTAGGTTACTGTCGCTGGGCCATTCCAGGGAGGAAAGGGTGCTGTCCCTCCACCTGCTCCCCCTTGGCGGCTCGGTGGCCGCCATCCTCCAGAGGCCATTGGACAGTCAGGTTTGGGCCCTCAGTGATGAGACATGTGGGGCCTCACGGGATGGGGGTGGGACCAGCCCTTTCCTCCCCATCCCAGCAAGACCCCTAGTCACCGCCCACTAATGGCCTTTCTGGCTCCCGATCAATCTACTTAACGGCCATGATCCCACAGACTCAGGAACAAATCTTGGAACCCAGCAGGTTTTGGCAAGAAATCCCTCCAGATTTAATTGTTAAAATTTTGGAATTTCAAAATCGCGCAGCCACTACTACAACCACGCGACATCATATGTTATTCATAACCAGGAATAGAAAACAAATTGTCTACTGTTGCCTTTTCAGCAGCTCTGTGTGTTGGGGTAAAATCCCAAATAATAATGGTGGGTCCAGTGTCAAAATATTGAATGTGATCAAAGTAGAGAGAGTGTAATGTGAAAATCATCTCTCCACAGGTAGGGGGAGGGTGTGGGATGGGGGCATACTGGGGTTTTGGGTGGTGGAGAATGGCACTGGTGAAGGTACGGGTCTTTCATTTTATAACCAAGATTTAAACCCGAAAGCTTCGTAACTGCTCTCATGGTGATTCAATAAATAAAATTATAAAAGATGAAAAATAATAGAACCACTGGGTGAGGTTTAATGGCAAAAAAAAACCCAAAACAAATAAAACCTTTATTGCATTATTGCAAAGCTTCCTAACCAATGTAGCCTAAAATGAATACCTTCAGTGATTCTCCATAGCTATTTGACAAGACGAAAATAAAGGGACACCATGCAGTACAGACACCATCAATCCATAAAGTCTGGGAAAGAAACTGGAAGTTGCTATATTATTAACCCAAAATTAACAGAACCAACGATGTTTATAAGCACCAACTCCTGTACGTTTGAAGCACACGTGTCCTCAGGTTGATTTTTCCTGAAAAAGAGCTTGAGCAAGAACGTTACTTTTAGCCTACATAAGCCCCAATAGCAGTCCTTGACTTTAGAATCTATGGTAGGGAATTCAAACGGTCTATACGTGAATCATGGTTACTTTGCAGGATATCCAAATATTACATCGTACTGTGAATATTCTGTAATACTAGGTTGTAAGTCAGTAAACTGTAGATTGGAGAGAGAGCCCTGGGGCAAGGCTGATGCCTAGCAAGCAGCAAACCCAGAGTCTTTTCCCTGGCACTTCCTATGGTCCCCAGCATCCCCTCCAGGAGTGATGCCTGCGCAGTTAGGAGGAGCCTCAGCACTGCTGGATATGGTTCCCAACTCCCTTGACAAATACAAGCACCCATTTCGTGGAATATAATATGTATGGTCACGGTGCTCCTGTTGTTCATCGATTTGCTCGAGCGGGCCCAGTAACGTCTCCATAGTGAGACTTCTTGTTACTGCGTTGGGCATATCGAAAATGCCACGGGTAGCTTGCCAGGCTTTACGTGCGAGCGAGATACTCTCCGTAGCTTGCCGGGCTCTCCGAGAGGGGCAGAGGAATCGAACTTGGGTCGGCCATGTTGGCTGCGTGCAAGCAAACACCCTACCCGCTGTGCTATTGCTCCAGCCCATAATATACACACACACACACACACACACACACACACACACACACAGATATACAGGGGATTGATATCCAAGGCTAGGAAAATGGAGGCCAGGAGGACTGGTCAATGGTTGGAAGCTCCCACAAGCATTGGGGACAGAGTAGGGACCAGTCTGGCAATAATGCTTGGAAATGGTTGGAAATCACTTTGGACGGGAACTGGGTGTTGAAAGTAGGTAAAGAGATACACATAATAACCTTTCCATATCTGTATTGTAAACCGAAAGGCGTTGTTAGGGCACGGATCGTGATCTCCCTTTAACGACAAAGAAACTCCAGAGACTGCAAACAGCAAGCAAGGTTTATTGTAAGACTGGCTAGCCAGGGTCAAGCCGCCTACACAGACACGCAGGTCAGTTAGGTGAGGCAAGACCCCGAACCTCTTCAAAGGGGATCTTATATAGGCCTTCACTGGCCGTTACAGCAAAGCCCGCGCATTTCATAGCCAATAGATTTGTAACAACATATGCTTTCTTAACCAATCCAATTAAGGGTACATCACTTCTTAGCCTATAGATTCAAAGATCAGCATTTACGTACATAGGCATTGTGACTAGTGGGCATCAGGTAACTTGGACATTTGGTTATCACCTTGCTTCCTCTGATTCTCAGCCCTGCATTCCGGAGGTGGATAAGGGAAGAGTTCTTAAGGGAGGTAACAGATAAGGAGGGCAGGAAAGGGAGAGTTACTAATTTATAGAGTTTTAACTCTGGAATCTCCCTCAGGGTCCCTAGGGACCTAACATTCCTCCCTTTCTCTACTTCATATTGAGGAATCTTCCTCAGTGGGCTCTTCATACAGAGGAGTAATTTCCTCAGTGGGCAGGGTCCAGTATTGTTACCCAGAATTAGGAGGATTTTCAAGACTCAAACCAATTCTCCCAGGCCTCCCTTTCTCTCCGACGTTGTTCAAGGCCCTCCCCGAGCTTGGCCGTGGAGTCTCAGACCATCCCTGTGTGATCAGTATAGAGTAGCAGCATTTTTCTCCCAACACCACACATAAATCCCCATTCTTCATTGCCTTGGGAGGGGGCCTTCCCTATCTACCTGCCTACATCCTATTGCCCCCCCCCCCAGAGATTCCACCACCTTGAATCTTTAAGGGAGAATGGCAGAAGGTCCATCTTCTGGAGCTGCTTCATGCTGACAATGGGGCGCTGGCCCTGCCTACACAAGGGGTGAAATCTCATGCTACCTCAGCTTTTTAGTGGCCCTCAGCAATGAATTGGTTGGGTTCCTGAAGTTATCTGAAAGAAAAGATCAGTTCGATTAGACTGAAGGATATCACTTTGAAATGGTTAGACCCTGGAGGAGTAGAAGTTCCTTTCTGACCCAGTAAGGACAGAGTTCTCTACCCACAGGTTTGGCTGATAGAAAAATGACTTCCTGTGTCCAGATTTTTCTACTGGACACAGAAACACCAAGCCATTCTCTGACTTTCTCAGTGCAGATTGGAAAAGCTTCTGCCCATACACTGAAGCTATCAATAAGAACCAACAGATATTTATACCTTGAACATATGAGCATTTGATCATTTGCATA